TGTCTCTCTGTAGCTCAGTTGGTTAGAGCTCGACAGCTGTCTCTCTGTAGCTCAGTTGGTTAGAGCTCGACAACTGTCTCTCTGTAGCTCAGTTGGTTAGAGCTCGACAACTGGTCTCTGTAGCTCAGTTGGTTAGAGCTCGACAACTGTCTCTCTGTAGCTCAGTTGGTTAGAGCTCGACAACTGGTCTCTGTAGCTCAGTTGGTTGGGGCTCGACAACTGTCTCTCTGTAGCTCAGTTGGTTAGAGCTCGACAACTGAACTCTGTAGCTCAGTTGGTTAGAGCTCGACAACTGAACTCTGTAGCTCAGTTGGTTAGAGCTCGACAACTGGCCTCTGTAGCTCAGTTGGTTAGAGCTCGACAACTGGCCTCTGTAGCTCAGTTGGTTAGAGCTCGACAACTGGACTCTGTAGTTCAGTTGGTTGGAGCTCGCCAACTGGACTCTTTAGCTCAGTTGGTTAGAGCTCGACAACTGGACTCTGTAGTTCAGTTGGTTGGAGCTCGCCAACTGGACTCTTTAGCTCAGTTGGTTAGAGCTCAACAACTGGACTCTGTAGCTCAGTTGGTTAGAGCTCGACAACTGGACTCTGTAGCTCAGTTGGTTGGAGCTCGCCAACTGGACTCTTTAGCTCAGTTGGTTAGAGCTCGACAACTGGACTCTGTAGCTCAGTTGGTTGGAGCTCGCCAACTGGACTCTTTAGCTCAGTTGGTTAGAGCTCGACAACTGGACTCTGTAGCTCAGTTGGTTGGAGCTCGCCAACTGGACTCTTTAGCTCAGTTGGTTAGAGCACTGCACCGGAATCGCAGGACTGCAGGATCGATTCCTGTCAGAGGGCCTGAAGTTGCATTTTTCGCAAGTGCTCCTGGTTAGATCTAAAATTGTAAAAAAAAACATCTACGAACTTTTTCTTTCACTTTCAGAAATCCAGATTACCAATTGTCTGAAGCGAGCAGTAACAGGCAATACCAGAAGTTTACTCAAGCAAATGGCGAAATTCAGGTAAGGCAACCGTACGACCAATATACCTCTGTCAAATTATTTTTAAATTTGGTGGAATTTATTCGAATGTTGTCAATTTTTTGCAGTGGAAGAAAGTTTTTGCCGAGAGATATTTGCTTCAGAGAAACTGGTTGAATGGAAAATACAAACTTCGTACATTTGAAGGACATAATCAAGGTTTGCTGAAATTTAATTTCTTTTGGGAAACAATTTTCACTGACTTGTACGCAATGCACCCCTATATGCACCAAACGATTTTACACATAGCACGTTTTCCTTGACAAATCTCCTTGACCAGTTTTATTTACGTACTCGTGTGCAGGCCAGAAAATGGCATTTTTTCCTTGCCAAGGAGCCATGTTTCAAAACTAGTCATGCCAGCTTTTGGACAAAGAAAATTTGTTCGCGTGTACGGCCGCCAAAGGAAAACTTGACAAATGTACAAGAAATACTTTTATGGTTTTGGCAAACAAAATACGGCCTTGACGTGAGATAAATGTTTAACAACATTCCGTGCACACCAGCAACAGAACTTGTCAAGGAAAAGTTGTTGACTGTACACACGAGAAAGTAAACTTGTCAAGGAAAACTTGTTGACCATACACACGAGAAGGTAAACTTGTCAAGGAAATCTTGTCATGGAAAACTTGCTCGTCTGTAACCGGCTTAACTGTTTATATGTGAACCCCTTTGTTGACATGTTTAGGTATCGCCTGTGTTCAATTTGATGATACGAGGATTGTTAGTGGATCATCTGACAAGACTATTAAAGTATGTACATGCATGTTCATATCATAAGTAAGGAAGGAAGCGGGGGGGGGGGGGGGTGCAAATCATCCTTACTTGCAGCTGAGAGCTAAGCTGAATTACGAAGGACGCAGCTCAACCTGATCGAGTCGAAGGCTTTCTAAGGGCGCCTCTGGCGGTCACCTTTAAGGCCCATTTCCACTCAAGAAAATTTTCCGCGGGAAGAAAATTTTGTAAAATGTGATTGGCCGACACAAATTTTCCGTTCGGAAAAAAATTTTGAAGTTGAAAATTTTCAACTTTTAACAATGACATTTTCGGAAAATTTTCTGTCCGTGGAAGTTTTTCTTGAGTGGAAATGGGCCTTTAGACTGTTATCTGATCACGGAGTACAGCTACGGTGGAAGGGTCAGTTAGAGGCTAATCCCAACCCACCCTGTCAACATTTCCTTCGGGAAGAAACCGAAGAAAACTCACGACTTTCGGTATATAGCGTTAATTGACTCTTCATGAGTTCGCAGCAACCTCAGAGGTGAAAAGCGTTTGCTCTTAGTGCGTAATATAAGATGATCCACTAACATTTATAGCTCAGTGGACTCTCACCATAAGAGGCCTGGACACTAAGCTTTGTTGTTGTTATAGTTTCTCATCATTCTCAAGCGAGAACTTATTAAAGAGTATAATAAAGTGTAGTTTATTAGCGTCTTCTCATGAAATGGATGAGCTCCTATCTATCATGAGAAACTATAACAACAACAAAGCTTAGTAGTATCCAGGCCTCTTATGGTGAGAGTCCACTGAGCTATAAATGTTAGTGGATTGTCCTATATTACGCACTAGCTCTGAAGATTGCGCCCCCGAATTGAAGCTACTAAACTGCCGCCGCAAATCCTGTTCAAAATCTTGTATAAATTTTCTATGTTATGCCATGTACTGTTCCTTGTACCTTCATCTCGTTTACATTCTAAGAAAATAATTACATTGAACCATTTACCATTATTAACATTTTTCAGCTCTGGGACATCAGTAATACACCGTCCGAACTGATGTTAACACTCGAAGGGCATTCTGGGACAGTTCGTTGTCTGGATCTGAACGGAAACAGACTGGTCAGCGGTTCAACAGACCGTACTATTAAGGTTTGTCAAAACGGAAATTGCTAGATAGTTTACTTCAAAATAAGGTTTCTGTTTTTATATCAATTTTTTAAATAAGTTAGGGTTAGGTTAGGGTTGGGGTTAGGATTAGGGTTAAGGTTAGTATTATTAGGGTTAAGGTTTAGTTTTGCGTTAGGATGGTTTTTTCTACGTTATAAAAACGGAAACCTTATTTTGAAGTATACTATCTAGCAATTACCTTGTTAAAACTACAATATGATTGTTTACCTTCTTGTGTGCACGGTCAACAAGCTTTCCTTGACAACTTTTGTTGTTTGTGTGCACGGAATGTCGTTAAACCGATTTATCTGATGTCAAAGCCGCATTTTGTTTGCCAAAACCATAGAAGTATTTCTTGTACACGAGTTTGTCGGTTAACCGAGTCAAATCCGAGCCCGAGTCAAATGTCCGAGTCACTGTTGTAGTTCAATGACTTAGTATCCTAATCCTAGCAACTCTACTCCTACACATGTAAAAACGCACAAGTTGTTACAGGTCTGCAAACAAGTTGTTATACAAATCTGTTCACAAGCTGTCGACAAGTTGTGTTCGCACTGCTTGTTCCCAGTTGTTGCAACAAGTCAGGCTTTAAAATATCATTTACAGGGACGTCTGGCAAAATGTCCGATGACGTTGAGTTTGGTACGGACATATGTCCGATGACCTTCAGTTCAGTTTTGACTCGGAAATAAGTCTGAATGACACAAATGAATATCAGCACAATGTATTAATTCTGTACGGTAAATGTTGTGAAGATATTAAATAATTTGTTTCTTTCATACTTATTTCCAAGCCAAAATTAACTTGCTTGTCAGAACAGCAGTATTAAAAAAGACTTCGACAACTTTGATTTACGTTGGACAAAGCTACAGTTCGGTCGGACACAAATACACTCGGGTCAGACAAACAATAAACCTCAGTTTCACTTGGGTGGGACAGAATGTCCGGTGGTTTCCTTTCAACGTCGGACAATTTCACGAATGGGTCGGACAATGTCCGTGACCGACCGATATTTTAAGGCCTGGACAAGTTTGGAACAAGCTGTTAACAACTTGTAACAAATTTGATGGCATTAACAGACTTGTTTATACAAGGTTGTTCCGACAAGTCAGATACAGTCATGATATAACAAGAATGTTGCAAGGTTGACGACACAGGTTGATTGTAACAGTATTGTTATATCATGACTGTATCGGACTTGTTGGAACAACCTTGCAACAAGTCTGATAATATCAACAAGGTTGTTACAAGTTGTTAACAGTTTGTTCCAAACTCGTTGACAACTATTACTTGGGACAAGCAGTGCGAACACAACTTGTTGCCAGACTTGCTACAAGATGCGAGACTTTTACGTGTGTAACCCTAATCTCACTCCTAATCCTAACCCTATTCGATTGTGAATTTTATTCAATTTCGTCCTTATTTACATGACTCTGAAGGCCCTTTTCCACAGGCAGAAAATTTTCCGAAAATATCATTGTTAAAAGTTGAAAATTTTCAACTTCAAAATTTGAAAATTTTCAACTCCTTGTTAAGGAAAAATGGTCAATTTTTTGCTATCCACACGAGCAAATAAAACTTGTCGAGGAAAAATTGCTCGTCTGTAAGGGACTCGATTTCAGTGAATTCTCTTTATTAAAGGTCTGGGATCTTTCGTTTGCTTCTTACTGGGCCGGTGCTTCATGTAAGGTCACTATGGTGGGTCATCTGCATACAGTGCGTTGTCTTCAGGTGAGGAGAGCAGTGAGATAATTTATATTATGGACCACTTGTCATCACTTATCCACCCTGAGTGAAGAGGTTTTTTGGTATCAGGCGAGTCCAGTTGCACCTGAGTGCGGGCTACAGTTTAAGCTAGCTAGTATATAACAAGATTATTTGTTTCTAACAGGCAGATGAGAAGAAATTAGTCAGTGGGTCATATGATAAGACTGTGAAAGTGTGGGATTTAAAGACTGGGGAATGTCAGTTGACATTGAGAGGTCATACTGCTGCAGTTTTATGCGTACAGTTTGATGATCAAAAGATCGTCTCCGGCTCCTATGACAAGAAAATTAAGGTAAGTGCTGTCGAATTTACTTAACCCCAAATACAATATTTAGTGTGTGTAATATTTGGGTCAATTAAAAAAGAATGTAATATATCTTAATAGTAAAAAACATCATCTTGATCTGTTGATCAACTTTTTCACTTTTCAATTTCCGAATCTGATGTCATGAGATGAATTGTAAAGTCATTTTCCTTTGTGTTTTTTTTGCTGCTAAAATTCATCTAATGACATCATATCCAGAAACGTTGACCGTGAAAATGTTGACCAAAATGAGGTTTTTCACTATAGAGATATATTACATTTCTTCTCAGAATGACCCAAATATTGCACATATAAAAATCATATATTTGGAGTTGGTAACAACTAAAATATACTGTAATTATAATAATCTAGGTTTGGGATTTGACAGAAGGAACATGTCTCATGACGTTAGATGGACACCAAGATGCAGTCACGTGTCTAAATTTAACACACGATGGTATGAAGATTATAACTGGGTCATTGGATTATTCCCTCAAGTTCTGGGATCTGTCAACTGGCAAGGTAAATGACCGCCAGACTCGATACGATACGTGGATTTATGCCATGAGAGTTGAGGAGCGAGAGATTGCATGAAGAATTTTTTCAACTCTCATGTTCCAGTCAAACGAGAACAAGAGTTGTATGAGAGTTGCGGATTTACAGGGTTCGTAGCGGTCTTTGAAGTCCTTGAAAGTCATTAAATTTGAATGTAGGTCTTTAAGGTCTTTGAAAAGTCTTTGAAATGTGTGAAAAAGCGAAGAAAGTCTTTAAAAGTCTTTAAGTGCTTTAGTGAGTATTTGATTATACGATTTCCTAGCTAATAAAGGAGATTGATTGAAGCAAGATTTTCGCAAATATCGACGAAAAGGTGCATTTTAGGATGTGATTTGATCGGACTAATTACCGGGTAAAAATGGTGCTTACACTCGCAATTTTTCGACAGCTGATTGCTCTCAAAGATCTTTGAAAAGTCTTTGAAAATATGCAGAAAAAATCTTTGAAAGTCTTTAAATATTTTTGTTTGGTCTTGGAGACTACGAACCCTGATTAAGATACGTACAACTACCCGAAAAATATAAGCAGAACTTCAATATTCATTATATTCACTACACACGTAAAAAGCACAAGTTGTAAAAAACCTGCAGCAGACTTATAGCAATGCTGTTTCAACAACTTGTCAATAGGATGTGTTCGCACTGCTTGTTCCCAGCTTGTTAACAAGTTGTCAACGACTTGTTGACAACTTGCTACAAAATTGTTGAGCTCAACAGACTTGTTACAAGTTCTTTCAACAACTTGTTATCGTCCTGCAATTCAACAATTTGTCAACAAGTTGTGAGTGACAACCTTGTAGCAACTTGATAAAATAACAGCATTATTACAACTTGTTGGCAAGCTTCCTACAAGCCTGTTGCGAACACATCTTGTCGAAATTAAGTTGAGCCAATTTCTTCATACATATTACATGAATGTCAGAAGCTAAAGTAACACTTACGTGGTTACGTTCTGTTTTTAGTGTTACGGGACGTTAGATTGGATAACATCTGAAGGGCATACTGCTGTAGTAAGGTAGGTGGTGTCTTTGATATAGATTTTATTCTTTGCAATACAGTCTGTTGTGGTGTGGTTCGTGGTATCATTTTGGTTATGGTATTGTGTGGTGTGTGCATGTTATTTTATGATATAGCTAGATATGATGTGGTATACTGGTATATAATGATATAATTTGTACTGGAATATATGGTATGGTATAGTATGGTATGGATAGTATGGTAATGGTTTAGTATGGTGTGGTATGGTATGGTATGGTGGTATGGCATGGTATGGTATGGTATATAGTATGGTGTGGTATGGTGTGGTGTGGTATGGTATGGTATGGTATGGTATAGTATGATATGGTATGGATAGTATGGTATGGTATGGTATGGTAGGTAAAGTATGGTATTGTATTGTAATGTGTGATATTATTATGGTATTGTATTGTATGCTATGCTATATGCTATGATGTGCAGTGTGTGTGGTGTATATAGTGTGAGATAAAGTATTATTTTAATATTATTTAGATGTTTACAAGTGGACAGTTGGAGAATAGTCAGTGGTGGAGATGATAAAACTTTAAAGGTTTGTATATTAACTACTTATATATCAAACACGATGAGCTTTTCAAGTGATATATCGTACACCGAGAGGAGTTTATATAATGATTTCAAGTACCAAAAAGTGTGTTGAGAATCGAGCAGCTAGCCGAGTTTTTAACATACTTGAACCGACTTGATTTCGTAGCTAACTTGGTAGTGCAACGAACAATCAAATCTAAGGTCATTGGTTTGATTCAATTCACTATATGAATGAATGAAACTTTTATTTAATCAGGGTAACTTCGTCAGCATTCAATTTTGCTGTTGTCAATGAAGGCCCTATATAGCTGGCGAGCAGGCACTGCCAGAGAGCCTGCTCGCAGGCTAGCCCTGTAGTAATAATCAATCGAAGGCTTGAATCTCCCAAAATCTGATTGTTTGCCAAATAATTGCAGGTGTGGGAACTTGCAACTGGACAACGTCTGCTGACGCTTCGTTACCATAGCGACGGGGTCACCTGTATGCAATTTAATGACTTTGCTATTGTATCTGGCTCGTACGATAGGACAGTCAAACTGTGGGATTTTACTCCGAAACATCAATATTTGGAGGCAGTGACATGATGTATTGTACATATACGATGAATCTGTAAATATTGAGAATAAATTATCGAAGTTTTGTCCCCAATTTTGCTAGTGCCCATCAGCTACTGTATAAAGTAGACCAGGTCGAGGAAAAATAATTTTGTTTGAAAGCTAAGAGTGGAAGAAGGAGAGCAGAATTGATATTTCAAAGTCAACCTCGTGACCTTGAATTAATTGATATTTCAAGGTCACCCTCGGTAAACCTCATGACACCCGCCAGATTGACGGCCACCGGCTTATTTTGAAAACCCTGAATTTTGCTTCAATCGCATTTGAAGATTGTTCGGTTTCCTACCGCAAAGGCTTCCACTTGATGCTAGAGCTATCAAGTATAATTAAATATAATATGTTTAGTTAAGTGTTTTTTAAGTAGCGTCTAAAACTCTGTATAGATTAACACTTCCGTTGTCGGCCATGAATGACTGGCGTTTATTAAACCAAGACAATTGTCAAGAAAGCTTGTCAATTTCACGTTTCCTTGTCAAAACCTGTTGGAGAAACCTGCTTTTATCATTGGGGGGATTTGGAAAAATTGACTTCCGTATTAAATTGTTAAAGTTAAAAATTCCGTGTTTAAGGTAATTCCGCAGTTTGGCATTGCGCACTTTTACTGCGCACATCTTATAACTTATAATTTCATCCATTATACGTACCGTTTAAAAAATATCATTTTATGACAATTTTATGTTACTTCAAAACATCTTTGGTTACATTCGTGCAAAAAATTACGTTAAAATCAATGTTTTCAAAAAAGGCATACAAAAGTGTAGCTAGGGTTCCCTGTGTCTGTAGTATATTTATTCACTTGTATTTCACGTTTTAATGGCCTTTAATGCCACAATTCCCTAAAAAGATCGGTGACCCCCGTTTTTTAACTGATAATTTATTTCTTTACTGCATTTTACATTTCATATCCGAAATTAAAAGAAAAATCATTTCTGGATCTTGAAAAACCATCCTTTATCAATGCATGTTCTCAAAGAAAGATATGTAAAGAAATGTGGAAAAGACATTTGTGGATCAGAATTGTACACGTTAGTAGTTTCATTTTGCTCAAAACACAATATTTCATCAAAAATAATTACAAGATAGGTTTACTAAAGCAAAATCCGCGCTAAAAACGTCAATAAATATCGGGCTGTTGTGATTTTGCTGTTACTCGTAATGAGCGTCAAGATGGCGCCATGTTGGGGTAAAGGTGGTATATTGTGATTGTCATATCTTCTTAACGAGTTCGGTGACCCTGACTTTTTTGTGTGATTTTACTTTAAGTATATCATAAACTCCATGCCTGGGAAGTTTCAGCACATTCTCATTTCGGGAACAATTACTGCGGAATTATACCTTAAAGTTGCATTAAAAAATTCCTCATTCCGTCAGAAAACTATTCTATGTTTGTGATTTTGTCTCTGAGCGTGTCCACTGCACCAATGGTCCACACAAGGCAAGCTGGAGAGTTTGCTTGACCGATGACCAACCAACCGAGCTACAATACGAGGTCAAGTCGGTTCAGCTTTCCCGGTGTGGAAACACTCAGAGCGACATCACAAACATATATCTTCACCTGAGCACACAACACCAGAAAGAAGAATTTTAAAATATTTTCTATATTCTACAAGCAAAAAGTGAAAGAATTCTCCATGCCAAAATTCCGCATTGTTCCCCGACTTTGTATATATTAGTCGAACATATTAATCTCGAGTCGCCGGTCCGTATTATTGCACATGCTTCATTCACATTGTTGCGGAAAAGCGAAAGTGTGATGAACACATGTATATTACACATGGCGTCACCTCATTAGCTGTACTAATGAACCATTAGCAATTCAAATGATAATAATCTGTCATACTCAAATATCCATTTTGACCTCGGATTTCTTTGAAGTTTTTGACATGGATAACTTCTATAGTGTATTAAAAACTCGAACAGTTTGTGCCAGCTTAGGTATAGTGACAATAACACAAGAATTAAACCTACAGATTGAGAGCGATTTAACAACCTGAAAAAATACAGGCAAAACTTCTGGCATTAAAAATACGGTCAGCAATAAAATGCCTTCCGGGTTATAGCCTGTTTTCCAATACAATGCTATGTCATATTTTGACACTTTTTTAAATAAATATTTTAAGAGGAAAGCTCTTCACCGAAAGGTACTTTTCAAGGAGGTCCTCTTTCGAGTAAAGTGGAATTTTTTTCTTCTCATTCTGATTTCGACTTCACTCTGCGGTATCGAGCGTTTTCAAAACTGTTCAAATTCAAAACTGTTATATATCGTTCTCATTATGCCAGAATAGAAATCCATTTAACTGAACTCAATCGTTTGATAAGCACACGTACTGGGAAATTGGACAACACAATTAAATACTTATTAGATTTTACGAGATGTTTAAGTAATATTTATAATCAGAAAATACATTTTCATTTGACAACGAATCTCAGTCCTTTTCCTTGTCGATGGATACCTCTGGACAATGTAATTTTTTGTGAATAAGTAATTTTCCTTTAAAACATTTTCCATTTCAATCCATTCTCGTCCCCAGAGCCATTTTCACTCGCGCGTGGCCGAGAGGCCCTTGGAACGAGGTTGACTCATGACTCACGTGTATGTTCAGGCCTGTTAGCCTTACATATTGTACCCAAACGTAGCGTATGGCTTTTGTTTCACGAGCATTGAAATGGCACTAATGACTGCGCAAGCTAAAACAAACAAAAAAAAGTTTAAAAAAATTTAGAAAAAAAATTTAAAAAAAATTTCTACAAAAGAAAATTCTACGCTACGTTAGGCCTATAAGACACGATTGAATTGGAAAACAGCATTGAAATGAATAGAACTGAAACGCTATCTTCAGATTTGGGAACTGAAACGCTATCTGGGATTCAGATTTGGCTTCAAGAAAAAGATAGGCAGATTATCTGAAGGTAAACAGACACAATGTGTAGCACTTGTCATATGTTTTCTGAAGCCAAATAAATCCTAATTCTTGTTCAAACACTGAACAATGTTGAACAGAACCGTTTTCACGAGACACAAGGTGAATACAATATTCCCAGCGTCATTACGGTCGCCAATCACTGCATTGTAACTACTTGTAACAATCGATCAGGTGCAGATGTCTTTATGAATCTTTGCAAATGAGTTTCCAATTTGCAACACTATCTTTCGTGAAAGCAACCAAGTATTCACAAAACATATATAAGTCTTTGACAGTTTACACCTCTTTCAAAACCTTTCCTTCAGAAGTCCTGTACGGTCACATAAAGTGAAAATGAAATATGTTGCTATATCACGCCTGTCGTTCGGTAAACATCATTATAAACATAGTATAACTAATTGATATTTGAATTCAGCTGTAATTACATTCGCAAGACTGAAGCATTTATATTTCCAATTCACTGCTTTGGCGGCTTGCATATCTTTTGTCGTGGTTTTGACACAACACCTGTCTAATTTGCATAAATCAAGCACTTGTAAAGTACACGTGAGGAACAAAGTGCGGTTTAGTCCATCTGAATAATTTAGTAGGCAACATCTGGCAACCGAAAATTTATATTTTCTTTTACTTGTGTTTAATCCAAAAACAACGTACTCGTTTAGAAGTTAGCAGTAAAATATACCTCCAAATATTCATATATTTATAAACAGAAAGTTGTAAAGTTTGTGTTATAAAAAGTGTCATAAGAGATATGACCTTTTAGTCTAACAGTTGTTGTTACTCGAATGCAAATTATCTTAATTTGATGACGTGTTTCGCGAGCTTCTGAGCATATCCAATCAGAATTTATCGTCAACCTTTCATAGCCGTTCAGATAACTCGCAAACAAGGAGTCGCGTACATTATTCTAGCATCATTCGTGGCTTGCCTTGAGACAGGCGTTTCGAAATATGGACGCTACAACGAAGAACGGTTATGTTTCTCACTCAAATGGAAACCACGCTCATTCAAATGGTTTTCACAAAGCGACCTCAAGTGCTATCAAAAATCTACCCTGGTACAACGTATCGTACAAAACCTTGTTCGCTTTAATCCTCGGGATCCCTGCCCTAATAATCTACCTCGTTCGTCTACCGTGGTGGTTTTATCCAGTCGTAGCGCTCCTGTGCGTTCTCCCGATTTTTCTTTCGTTTATTTTGGTTTTCAATTACTTAAGAATCGGGCGTCAAACAAAGCCGTCGAGGTTGGCCGATTTTGTTGAATTCCGCGATGCCTCGTTTGGCAAAACGTACGCGTCGAAAATGATTCCTTTGGAAACGTTAGTCGAAGCTTATGCGGACGAGAAGGTCGATTTCAAGGGCGATGTGTTAGAATGTTTCGAGCAGCGAGAACGGTTCGCGTGTTTCGCTCTCACTTGGAATCATGTCAAAATATTTTGCTGTAATTTTCTGCCTGAGTTACTAAGTCATTCGCGCTTACAAGATTTGGACCAAGTCCGAGACCACTACGATCGCGGGAACGATTTCTACGAGGCGTTCTTAGGGCCCATGATGGTCTACACGGCTGGATTTTTACGCAAACACGGCGATACTTTGGAAGAGTTACAAACTAATAAACTGAACAAAGTCTGCGATAAGATCGCGCTGAAGCCTGGTGACAAGATGCTGGACATTGGGTGTGGATGGGGAACGCTTGTGAACTTTGCGGCGGGAGAACGCGGGGCAAATGCGGCCGGAGTATCGATCAGTAAAAACCAAGTTGGATATGCCAGAGGTGTTGCGGAAAAAAAGGACCTAAACGCGAAGGCTAGTTTCATGTGTATTGATTACCGAGATATCCCGCAAGAGAGCTACGACAAAATAACCTGTCTGGAAATGGCCGAACATGTTGGAATACTACATTTCCAATCGTTCTTGTGTCAAGTCCGGGATCTCCTTAAAGATGACGGCGTGTTCTTTCTACAGATCGCTGGCCTTCGTCGTGCATTTCAGTGGGAAGATTTCGTATGGGGTCTGTTCATGGATAAGTACGTCTTTCCCGGAGCGGATGCGAGCTGCCCGTTGAGTTTTGTCGTCCAACAACTGGAAGCGGCCGGATTTGAAATTGCCAACGTCGAGACCATCGGGATCCATTATTCCTACACCATCCATCGATGGTACAAGAATTGGGTGCGACCCGATGTGAAAGCTAGCATTTCGGCGAAGTATGGCGTAAGGTTGTACCGAATCTGGGAGGTTTTCCTTGCCTGGTCGACCATTATCGCCCGTCAAGGTAGCTCGACGTGTTTCCAAATTGTCTGTCATAAAAATCTCAACGACTACGACAGGAGTAAGTACTTCTCCATTAAGAAAGAATAAATTATAATGCACCACCGCTAATATATGTAAGCCCTCGAATATTGGTACCGTTTTTGTGAAATTTGAATATAGTGAAAATAAATAACGAATTTTGGCTTTCAAAGGTACTGAAATTATATTTGCCTCTCCACTTGAGAGTTTATCTTAGTTTTCAGTCGTCTTTTCTTGTTTCCTATACCGTCCGCCATCTTGAATTTTGTCTCACCATATGCATATTGCGTCACAAAGAAAGTATGCCGGAAAAAGATGGCATTTGGCAAGTTTTTGAACGTTCTTTCGAACGAATAGTCTTTATAGTTAATTGAGTTTATCGTGTTACCAAGTCAACAATACATTGCTTCATATTGACGTTGTGATTTGGCCATGAATATATTATAATTAAATTTATAGTATAATCAAGTTAAATTTTCCCCCTTTCGTTACCACGTAGGATTTGCAAATATTAAGCGGTGGTGACTGTTCTATCCGAATCAATCAGAATTTAAATGTTATGAGAATTTTAGTTGTAGCCCAGTAGATATATAGATATATATATAGCCAAAAAACGAACTATTTTTGTGAAGGTTTATAGTTCATGTAAGCTGAAATTTACTATTTGAATTGCTTGTTAATGTTAGCATCTAAATTTTAGTGGGCTGAGTTTGTAGAATGTAGATTAAATTGGCATTTTCATAACAGGATTTTGCATATTTACAATTTTAAAGCATTTTTCGTTGACTTGTGGGTTTAATTAGACTTCATTTTGTTAATTTGCTGCCGATTGAAGTAGTTTCATAGAGTTTAATCATGCATAGTTGATATGGAAAATTGACATATGGTTAGTAAGGCCAGTTAAAAACTGAAGACTGTTTTACAAACATGATGTTGAAAATGCATCAACTAAGCTTTTATCCCAAGCAAAAAAATATTGCAGTTGAAAACAGCCAAGTTGCTATTGAATAATTGTTTCGAGACAAGGAAACAGATTTGTTTATTTATTCATTTATTTATTTATTACGTTCATTCGTGATGAAAGTGCACAAAAATTATATGAAAGTGAAAAAAACATGAGACAGCATAAAACCATGCGGACTTTTCGCGTCCCTTTATGGCTTGACGTCGTTTTCCATTGTTACAATGGGATCAAGTACGGAAGTCCCTGTAAATATGGGGCGGGCTCCCCTCCCTTTAACTTGTTGGAACTGTTAAGAATTTCATCTATACCGTGGTACAGTATAAAGTGAATCAGACGGGTCATTCCAGGGGATGTTGCTGGTTCAACTCCAATAGGAATGCAAGCTGAAACACTCAGACTGTCGTGTATGGTGAATTTCAAATACCGTTCTGTTCGGTAAGACCTACACTGTAATTCTACACTTTTTAATGTAGTTTGTTTCTGTGGATTGGTAAAAGTGAAAATAATATGATATTGCTTGTAAACTCTAGCATAGTGAGCTACGAGTTTGTGTTGAGACCGTATATATTAATATTTCAATTACTACGAATAATGATTATCGAATCAATGATTCCAATGATGATGTCATTGGACGATTGCTTCGTCATGCCAAAAATACATTGTCGCATAAACATGAACAAAAAGTAAAACAATGGCTTTCGCCACATGGTTTAATAGAAAAGATGTTTGAAGATTCATTAGAATTACAATATAACTTATTATCGTTTTGTTTCAGGTTTATTCAGAAATGTGGTCTCTCACCGTCATGTGCGTATTGTATTTTTAACCAACCAACCAATAGCAATGTTTTAAGAAAGTAATCTGACTTGGGTAACTTAAAGATTTCTTAAAATCGAAAACACAATACGCACATGACAACCGCGAAGTGCCACATTTTTGCATAAAAGTTGACTAACATAGATAATGAATTCTATTGTTATTCTAATGAGTTTCGCCGAACCTATTTATATTCTATTAACAACACTTTCGTAGATTTTCCAGACCATATATCGATTGACCAGGACTGTAGAAGTAGTTTACAATTGCGTTAGTTTTTAAACGCCTACAGAATGACTATTAAAAACAATCTAACTATTGTAAATCTTAGTATCGGTGGACAAAAACATTCTTATAATTATGTGTAGAAGATTTTGAACGGCGCCACGTTCGTGCAAATTGTAAACTATAACTTATGGCAAACTGTGTTTCTGTGCAATAAAAATCTGATTTTGTGTAATAATACACCTCGTTTTCGACTTTATATTATTATGATAGCATATTGCGAGGGTCTCCCATCTCTCAGCGGTTTCTAGGGAATATTTTGCAATGGGACAATCATATAATAGGGAACATGGTGAATTATTTGTTGGGAACGAGGGAAAACTTTTCAAGTGAATACGAAACACAGACCCCCCCCTTGGGAGGCTGTCAGGATCTTTACCTGTATTCCTCCTATCCATGGTACCACAGTTAATAGAATGAGAGATGGCACGGACGCGGAAGTGAAGATCCTAGTGCAAGGTTGGCGCAAGTGTATTTCCAAACTGTATTCTGCATTGTACACCACATATAACATAGTGACATCCATGTAACAAAAGTGACATCCAGTCACTATCCAGTGATCGGAATGTTCTATATTTATATTTATATAATACCTTATTGAATTCTGATCGTTTAATTGGCTGTTTATGGTCACGTGATATTGAATAGAAAATTCCATTTCCCAAGAGTGCAATGGAATACGTTCCATTGCACTCTTTACGAGTGCAATTGTAGTATACGTTTTATTCCATTGCACTCTTAGTGTTTTCGATAAATCGCATCCGTCAAAATGCTTCTCATACGAATCTATTAGTCTATTTTGGTATTATATAAAACAAATAATGAATGTTTATTCGTGCAATGGGACATTCCATCTTTCACCTCATGAAAATATTCTTACCATTGGCATTGCACGAATAAACATTCATTATTTGTATAATATCCAGCGGCGAAACGACGTTTATTCAACGTTGAATCAACGTCGGAAATTATCTCCCAGACGGTTGGATAGACGTTGAAAAAGGATTGAAAATGCAAATTGGATCAACGTTAATCTTCAACGCTGAGATTAGGTTGCCAATCACGTAAATCAAACCATAATTCATGCAAGATGTCTACTCCAATAATCTGATAAAATTCAAGGACTTTTCTAGGCCTTTCAAGAACATCAATAAATGAATCAATTTTGAAGTACTTTCAAGGCCTGACGCCTTTCTTTTTCAATCGTCTGCGCCAATACTTCGACGCTTCGAGCGATGGCCTAGATTTTCGCAAACTCCGTTTTTCTTTGGAGTGTAGTTTTGGCAGGGGGAGTGTCCTATCTCCTTCTCAGCGTGGGTCCCCCCCCTTTTCACAGTGAATTAGAAAAGAAGTCGACTTGTGGCAAGTCTAGCGAAGGTCCTTCGTCGGAAGTTAGTAAGGGATATAACTACCTAAAAAATACAAGTAGAACGTCGACGATTCGAACGAAGAGCCTTCGCTCGAAACGTCGAAGTTCTCCATGTATTTTTCAAATTCAAGGAAATTCCAGGTCCTTTAATGAATGTGACTCGGATCCCTGACCTAGGCAAACAATCTAAAACAAGATATTTGCTGTGTTGGTGTAATGTACTCAGGTGAATAAGATGTTTGTGATGTTACTCTGAGTGTATATCCACACCGGGCAGGCTTGAAAAATATGCCTGGCCACGGTGGGATTCGAACCTACGACCTTTGGAATACTAGCCAACGCTCTGCCAACTGAGCTACGAGGTCAGGTCGGTTCGAGTATGCGATATTTCGGAACTGAGTCTAGTTCCTTCGATGTCAGTGTAATTAAAGGTCGTAGGTTCGAATCCCACCGTGGCCAGGCATATTTTTCAAGTCTGCCCGGTGTGGATATACACTCAGAATATAAACATCACACAGCAATCTAAAACAAGTTAGATTTTTTGACTTTTTATATTTGTATTTTACAAAAGCATTGTCAATTAGTTATTTACACTCGGTGTTCGTTACATATTAAGGAGCTTTATAAGCAAACGACGTTTTCTTTTTCAACACATACGACTAAACGTAAGATTTTCAAGTTTTTAAAGTTTTTCGCTTCCTGACACGAATGCTATGATGCGAAATGCGGTCAAGGATTGACCGCAAAACGCGATCAAGGTCAAGGTTTGACCAATTTTCGGTTGAGGTCCATGTTTACAAAAACGTCATTGGCTTAAAATAGCTTAACTGTTGTCTATTACTTATGAAACAATGTCTTGTGTGGTCTCTATCTAGTCTCTCAATTCATTAATTCTGGCATCACGAGAGTGCTTCACCCTTCGTTACCTGTAAATCACAAATAAATACATCAAATGTTATTTCACTCATTCACTACATCAACATACGTAATTATGTTCATAAAATTCTCACACACCCTTGCTTCGATATATTCTACTTTTTGTTCCATCAGTGTCAACTTTTCATCCAATTTCGCTAGCTTTCCACGACAAGACATATCTAAAACAATTATAACAGGCAAATGACTCTTTTTAAACACAATAGACGCACTGGAATGTGCTAGTATTTTTATATATGGATACACCCAAAACACAACATTCATATTATTTCTCAGTAGAAACCCCTAAATTCACACATCTAATAAAATGTAAAACAAAGTACTTACCAAAATTATTCAAAAACTTCGCTATATTCTTAATGCTTTCAGATAAAATCTCGATAAATTCACGATTTTCCCAATCTTGTTGAATTTGTTGACTTGTCACGTCCGCCATCTTGGTTTATGCTTCCACTTGAAAACGAACCAAATTTGAAATTTCCTCCCCTACCGTCGTTTGCATCTATCCATGGACACTGGCAGATGTGTGCCAAGACATTTTAATCAGTCAATCACGTTTAACTACTCTTTCCGAAGATTAGAACCTCAGAATAGACAATATATTTATATGCAGCCATCCCTAAGTACGAAATTTCCTTCAATAAACTAAATATGACTCCCCAATAATCCAGCTATAATGTTTATTTATCAAAATCTTTTATTCACCATTATTTAATTTATGTACATAGTTTACTAATTAAATGTTCGTTATTTCTTCTATTGTTATCAATGTCATTAATTACGATGGGACTTTGAATACGCCGGTCGTCGTTCCTTCGTGGGATCTGATCAAAAGATTACTAGAAAACAAACAAAGAAAAGTTGATGCACTTATACGAGATTTTCACTCCTGTGCTCTTTAGTGTGATAATTCAGTTTCTTACCACGTATCAGATTCTAGGACAACGATTGGTGATAAATCAATTTCAGGAAAAAGTTTTCTTGCTTCCTGAGCAATACCCGACACTAAACCAGCATGTACTTCTGATGCCGACCCATCAACTAAAAAATAAAATGATAAAAAAACATGTCTTAATACTAATAGACTCTTTGCAGACACTTTCTTTATGCAGTTGTCCAGTTTCAATACTTTCTATATTTTCTAAATCTCGGATGTGAAATTTCCAAACTTTCCAGTCAGGGAACTATCTAATAGAAATACAGTTTAGTAGGGATGTGCTGGATACTGCTTTGACAGTTATCGGATGGTACCGGATAGCACTCTACTGGGTAATAACTGATGGTGGAACTTGGACAATACGTCACTATCTTTTTGTCATAAAATATTGTAATGTCTGTTTAGTATGTGGCACAAGGATCATCAGACAAGAAAAGCAGAGAGCAGTTTATACCACAAAAAACTTAACTGGAATTTCATTTTAATGTGTCACATATCTAGTAGACTAGTTGTTTGTGTTTCACAATATCTTAAAGCAGAGCAGACAATTTTGTGGTTATAATAAAAGTTCCAGTACTATCCGGTAAACGTCCGGCAAATTTTACCGGCCACCAGATAGTGCAAGATGTTTATATTTTGCCGGATATCAGTATATCCCTATCCGGCAGACCGCACATCCCTACAGTTTTAAGTCAATACCAGTAAGTGCAAGGCCTTCTTGATTTGTGCAAATCACACCAACTACCCCTCTTTCTTGCATCCTAAAACACAAAATAAACCAAGTTTATATCAAAATAATGGTCAATATCAGATTAGTCCATTGGTCACATGACAATATATCATTCTATAATATAATATGAACGTGCAAATAAATAATACAAAACAAAAGAAAGTTAACCCTTACAACTCCTCAACAGCACTTTCCAGATCAGATTCCATAAGTCAAACACAAAACGTCTATAAAAATCACTGAATAAACCTAAAAGAATCTATTAAAATTATGATATTTTAATTTTTTCTGATATTTTCCTACTTGGTTGCCCAATTTTAGGGTGAATATGAGGCGTTTGCGGGCTGGATTTGCGAGATCAATCAACTAGGCTAGCGGTTTTACTCCATTCCGATCATGCGTGGTAGAATAAAAACAAAAAACTTTTTTGAAATTTGGTAAGAAATGTTTTAGAAAAATGTGAATTTTTCGAGAATTTCAGCAAAATGGGCAAAGAAAAAGCGGGACCACTGACTGCTAAAGCTATCAGTAACAAAATTAAAGCTAAAGGATTACAGAAATTGCGATGGTATTGTCAGATGTGTCAAAAACAATGTCGGGACGAGGTATGAAATTTTGTCAAGTATACTGATTAGTGTATACGTACTTTTATACTACTACCACTACGTAGTACGTAATTTATACAAATGTAGCCAGCCATATTTTAGTCCAAAGTAGTAGATAATAGTGGTCGGCATCTGTAAAATATTTTTTGTAATCTCCAAAATTATTAAAATATACAGTAGTGCAAAAATTGCCACAGGAACTAGCCATGTTCCTATCCCAGCCAGTGTGCTTTATGGGCTTGAGAGGCATTCGCCCCCATGAATATCTGCCATTTTGAATATTTTCATGGGGATGCCTCATAAATGCACTGGCTAGGAACATGGCGACAGCTACCCTGGATTCCAGAGCCTTCGACAGTAAATAATAAATTGAAATGTCGCGAAGGCTCTGGTTCAACGGAGCGATTCTTTGATTAAGCCGTGCCAAAACAGAATTAGTGGTTTAATCTGTACTAAAACCATTCCGTTTTGTGATTGGCGCGGCTTAATCAGTGGCGTAACGTTATATCAAGGGGCCCCCGGTTCAAAATTTTCGAAGGCCCCCCTAGTAGAAGTGCCAAAGGCACGAGTCGAGCGCCGTATATGCACAAGTTTTCTAGGGGGTCCAGGGCATGGTCATCCAGAAAATTTTTGAATCTAGACTCTCTGAAATGCCATTTCCTGGACTTTGGGGAGAGATTTTACAGAATTCTGATGGTCATAAAACGACATTGTAACATATCAGAGGCCCTGGCCAATGTTTTTGCCCTATCGCATAAGCCTGGGGGGCCCCATTTGGGTTTGGGGCCCCCGGGTTCACCCGGTCTGAGCCCATAGTAGTTACGCCACTGGGCTTAATCAAAGAATCGCCCCGTTGAACCAGAGCCTTCGCGACATTTCAATTTATTATTTACTGTCGAAGGCTCTGGAATCCAGGGTAGGCGACAGCTAGCTTTGTAACGGTTATGCAAATGCATCGACCAGAGCCTGAAAAAAATTGCCTGTACAAAAAAGATATTATTTATTTAAACCCTGATGTTGAATACATCAAAACCATGATGTCACATCCTGTTGCCACCACCTAAATTTGCTCTATTATAGAATGGTTTCAAGTGTCACTGTACGTCAGAATCTCATCAACGACAACTGCTGTTGTTTGCCGATAATCCAGATAAATTTCTTGACACTTTCTCAAAGTATGTACAAGACTAGTCCAATTTTAATGCAGTTTTCATAAATAGATGTAATATTTGGCAATATTCTTAACTTGCTTCATTTCAGGGAATTTGAAGATGACTTTATGTTATTGCTTAGAAGGCGATTTGGTAAGTTATGTGGCAATGCATACACAGATTTTCAGATTTTGCTCGGGAGGGGGTTGCCTGAAATTTAGGAGGGATGTGAGTGAAGGGGTGCACAGTCGGTAGTGTGGACGGGGTGGAGGTAAGGAAGCAAAGTCGCCCAGGAAATTTTGAGATTTGTTGTCTTAGTTCAAAATTCTTGTTTGTAGTCTTAGTTTAACATTTAACCCATTGAGTGGCAGCACTCTCCCCCTGATGAATAAAATTGTCTGGCATTAGACAGAGTAAAATAATAAAGTACTAAGATGCATCTGGGTGCATTGCCACTTAAAGGGTTAACAGGGTGCATGGGCAGATAATGAAGTCTCATGATTAACCCATCGAGTGGCAGCACTCTCTCCCTGGCGAGTAAAATCATCTGGCATTAGACAGAGTAAAATAATAAAGTAGGGCACATCTGGGCGCATTGCCACCGAAAGGGTAATTAAAATCCTTATTTCAATCATACTACTGTCATTAATCCAACAAGCAATTTACTTTAAATTTCTGGGAATGAGGGGGGTGAAAATTTTTCTGCATTCCCCCCCCCCCTAGAAAGTTTGTCTATGTGGCAATGTTGGTAGTGGTGTAAATGAACAAATTTCCTAGTGTATTTTATAGGATGATATATACATGTACTAGTCCATTTATTTGATACTAAATATTCATTGGTTTTCCCAATAAGGCACTCGGCGTGTCCATTCCAATGTGGTCTACCAAGAATTTATCAGCGACAGAAACCATCTACACATGAATGCAACACAGGTAATTTGAGTGATGTGGATTATAAATGCCACAATTACAGTGCAGAGTCTGAAATTTGATTTCGGATACCAACATGTGAATGATTTGTATCCCGACTGGATACTAAGAAAATAGCACACACTTGGAAAATGTTAAGCTTCTCTGACAGTTTCCTCATAGCTTTTGAATACTATGAGAAAATTGAAAGATTTCTACTTTGTTTAGTGGGAAACTCTGACAGAGTTTATCAAATGGTTGGGCCGTGAAGGTAAAACTTGACTAATTTAACCATTGGGCCATTCCAGAAAACATCCGCAGCTCCCCAACAGAGGAAATTGGATGTTAGCCCCCTATTCCCAGGTGATACATTTTACAATTATCAGAAGTATATTTTCCCCATCTCTGTCCTGTTGGCAGGAATTTCCTCCATAGGGGGAGTGTGGATCCATCCTGGTATTACCCATTCTGAAGTTGTTCGATAATTAGAACCGTCTAAAAAATTTGTGGCATTCAGGAAATAGAAAGTATCTGACTGTGTCTGTCAATTATTCTCCAGGCAAGTGCAAAGTTGACAACACAGAGAAAGGGTGGTTTATCACTTACATCGACAGGGATCCTGAAACGCTTGCAAGACAAAAGGTATTAAAATTGATATTTTCTCTGACTTCTAGACAATGATATTTGATTTTCGTTAGAGGGATTTTTGTTGTAATAAATAAAAGAAAACGTATAATTTTACCTTTCTGTTTAATCAGGCTACAGAAAATAAAGAAAAAATGGAAATGGATGATGACGAAAAAACAGGTACAAATTAAAAGTTACAGTTTGTAAAAGTACAAGGTTTACAATATCCCCTGTATACACCATGTATATACATATACACCATGCTAACCTTATTGACTAGTTGTGTAATATTTCAGCCAAATTCATTGAGAAACAAATAGAGAGAGAACTGGCCAGAAAAGGTGATCAGGTAGAATATACATTTATATCAGATAATCATAATCTAAAAGATAGAAAAACATACTAACTCATGCAGTTACTTTTTGTAGACAGCAGTGCCTGAAATGAAAATTCATCTGGTGACCAATTCTCAGATTTTCAATTTTCAAATCTACCCATCGGCTACTCCTAGCGTTTGAATGATGGTTTTTAAGGCGCATTTCAGCACTTTTAATTGAAAAAACTAGCTAGGAAAATTAATTATGCATAATTCAAGATCAGTAAACTCAATGTTTTTAACAATAAAAATGTTTTAAAATATTTAAAACATTGAGTTTGCTGATCTTGAATTATGCTTAGTTGATTTTCCTAGTTAGTTTTTTCAATAGACAATTCCCATTATAGACTAATTTTAAAACTAGACAAGGGGGTGCAAATATATTACCACAGCTAGAAAGAGCATACTAAAATGAGTAAAATTGCAAAGTTTGATTGCGAAATGTTGTAAAATATGCGGAAAATATAGCCTTGCAAAGTTCGCAAATTTTGTATACTTTTGTATTGCGTGCGGTAATTGCTACCACATTTGGGCCGAAAATGGTAGGAATTTGCGCACGCAATACAAAAGTATACAAAATTTGCAAACTTTGCAAGGCTATATCTTCCACATTTTACAACATTTCGCAACCAAACTTTGCAATTTTACTAATTTTAGTATGTTCTTTCTAGCTGTGGTGATTTATTTGCATCTCCTTGCCTAGTTTTAAAATTAGTCTATAATGGGAATTGTCTAATTAAAAGTGCTGAAATGCGCCTTAAAAACCATCATTCAAAAGGCTGAACTGTTCTGAACTGTGCCTTTAACGCGAACACAATCTGTTTTAGTCTGAATCATGTCCAACTGAGCTGGAACGAAGTAACGAAGAGGAGAAAGGTGTGTGATATTTTCATTGGTGCTAAACACTTTTCTAAAGTATTGTGTAGCACAGTGTGAATGTGTTTTTAATTTCTTGTTTTTAGTCACATTCAGTCTCACATCGACAAAAACGGTTGAATCTGGTGCTGAGAAAGAAACAAATAAACCATCAACTAGGTTAGATTTTTCAAGGGTTCTGCTTTATATTACTAAAGCCATTGAAAAATGTTTTTTTCTTTTTGGGTTGAGAAAGAAACACATAAACCATCAACTAAGTTAGATTTTTCAAGGGACCTGCTTTATATTACTAAAGCCATTGAAAAATGTTTTTTTCTCTTTGGGTTGAGAAAAAAACACATGCATAAACCATCAACTAGGTTAGATTTTTCAAGGGACCTGCTTTATATTACCACAGTTAATAGAATATTAACTGTGATATTACTAAAGCCATTGAAAAATGTTTTTTTTCTCTTTGGGTTAGCTTGTATTCTCGGGTTTCATATGAAGTCATGTGGAGCTCAAGGGTAAAGGATGGGATTTATATTGTTTTATACTGGCTTTTTATAATAATCGGATAAATCATTTACATATAACACAAAACAATATACACTCCGAAAATTGTAAATATTTTCATTCTTTTCATTTTATTTTTGGAGTGTCTATTGTTTTGTGTTTTATTAAAGTACTCTATGGCAACTGCAATCATTTACATAAGATGCGTTGACATTTTGTTTCTTTGCTGTTTTAGTTCACCTCAGTTCAATGATTGACCCCCACTTGAGGCAAATTATACTAAACAATCACGTGATTGGAACCCAGGAATGAGGGGTCATTCCATGTCATTGAGTGTAGCTTGTTTCATTCATGAATGTTTTCAGTAGAGAAGAATGCGATGTACAATACTGTTCCTTTTGTTCCAGCAAGTCCATGATATCCAAGCCAAGTCCGTTGGTGAACATGAGTAAAGCAACTGATAAAGAGGGCAGAAAGAAGGAGAAAGAAACGTGAGTTATCGCAATGCAACTAGAAACAAACATTCTGGGTGTCATTATCAGTTTTTGAACATCCGTAATATTTGGTATAATAATTTATATGGCCGCGGTTCCGTCCCGTTCTCTCTGGAACGGATTTTCCCCTTGCCAACACTCCAACCGTCCAACAATATCTAAAACTCTGAAGCCTCCCCCCCCCCCTTGCCCCATTCAAACGATGATGAGATATTTGTGATATTTGCGTCATTCTAAGACGAAATGTAATATATCCTTATAGTAAAAAAACTCATCTTGATCAACTTTTTCACTGTCAAAGCATATGGGTGAATTTTTGGTCAAAAAAGGAAAGGAAAACTAATTTGCAATTCACCTAATGACATCATACGACAGTGAAAAAGTTGACCAAGATGGGATTTTTTGTTATAAACTATAAAGATATATGAGAGTTGAGAAAACTCTCGTGCAAACTCTCGCTTCTCAACTCTCACCAACTCTCATGCAACTCTTGTTCGCGTTTGACCGGGGCATGAAAGTTGAGAAAACTCTCATGCAAACTCTCGCTTCTCAACTTTCATGCAACTCTTGTTCTCGTTTGACCAGGGAATGAGAGTTGAGAAAACTCTCATACAAACTCTCGCTTCTCAACTCTCATCAACTCTCATGCAACTCTTGTTCTCGTTTGACCAGGGAATGAGAGTTGAGAAAACTCTCGTGCAAACTCTCGCTTCTCAACTCTCACCAACTCTCATGCAACTCTTGTTCGCGTTTGACCGGGGCATGAAAGTTGAGAAAACTCTCATGCAAACTCTCGCTTCTCAACTCTCATGCAACTCTTGTTCTCGTTTGACCAGGGAATGAGAGTTGAGAAAACTCTCATACAAACTCTCGCTTCTCAACTCTCATCAACTCTCATGCAACTCTTGTTCTCGTTTGACCAGGGAATGAGAGTTGAGAAAACTCTCATACAAACTCTCGCTTCTCAACTCTCATCAACTCTCATGCAACTCTTGTTCTCGTTTGACCAGGGAATGAGAGTTGAGAAAACTCTCATACAAACTCTCGCTTCTCAACTCTCATCAACTCTCATGCAACTCTTGTTCTCGTTTGACCGGGGCATGAGAGTTGAGAAAACTCTCATGCAAACTCTCGCTTCTCAACTCTTATCAACTCTCATGCAACTCTTGTTCGCGTTTGACCGGGGCATGAGAGTTGAGAAAACTCTCGTGCAAACTCTCGCTTCTCAACTCTCATCAATTCTCGTTTGACCACAGTCATTTCACAGCGTGTTTTTCTTTTTAGACTAAAGCGAAAATCGGCCTTAGATGAAATAATGAAAGTAAGAGAAATGTTCATCAGTTTGCTCGTCAAAACCTTTTTCAATTTAATTTTGTTTCTTGACTGTTGCCTCGATAGGAAGAGGAAGCGAAGAAAGCAAAAAAAGAAACTTTACGGAAAGAAAATTGGTTAATGAAGGTTAGATTATTCACTGACAGATTATCCAAGATTTTTAGTTGTACCAGGCCCGTGAGCAGGGCTCAAAGTAGAGAAAAAATATGGCCTGCCAGTCTCAAAATTTTTGGCAGGTGAAATAAATTTTAGCCTGCCGTTTTTATTCATTGAAACTGACAAAATGGCGATGTCTCATAGGAGTCATATTGTAAAAATCAATGTTTTGATGATATGCATTTTTAGTATTTTTATTACAGTAAACTTGGATTTACATTTCAAACGTATGTAGTCGACTAAATGATCTAGTATATATGACATAAGCAGGGTCACGCAAGAATTTTATCCATAGAGCAATTGGTTATTATTAGCCCAAAATCATATACTTCAGTAACTATTTGAAATAAAAAACTGTCTGACGACTTTTCAAACAAGATTTAATGTTATTTGGTCATTTAGATGTAGTTTTATATGGCTAACTCTGCTTATGACGTCACTAAAATCACCGATAATGAGATTAAAAATTAATCCAAGATGGCGGACAGCAAATTATTTTAAGTCAAAATATTTCAAGAAATAATAAAGTTACGCAAAGTCGGTACAGGAGATTAACATATAATTTTAAAAGTTCTTTAAAATGAAATAATAAAAAAATATATTGCTGTTTCCCTTTAATTAAATGAAATATATTTATAGAATTTCACCTGCCATTTTTTTTTACTTGGCAGTTCAAATTTGTTTTTGCCTGCCATTTCTAAAATATGACCTGCTTTTGGCCATTGGCGCCCATGAGCTATGTATGTATCTGGAGTGAGAAGTGAGAACTCGAGTCTAAACATTGAAGCCAATGTATTTGAAATTATTCTTCTTTAGGGAATTGTGGTGAAAGTCGTTCATAAGAGACTCGGTGAAAAATATCACAAAAAGAAAGCGGTTGTCAAGGTCAAGCTTTTTTTCATCTTTCATAAATTGATTAAATTTGTTTTATGCTGATTTCCACGAGGTGTGATCACTACCGCAACTATTCCATATCGTGCTTCGTGTGTTTATTGACGGTGGTATTTTGTCTTATAGTACAATCAAAATAGAAAATAGATCAGAAAAAATTAGTAAGAAGCCAAAAATTAGCGTATGCATTCTCTTCAGCAATCTTGATAACATACTAAAAGTCCTCATGTACCCTCTTGGAGCTTTCTCCATTATGACAAGTTTTTTGTTCGATTTCCCTAGTGAACTCCTATATTGTTAAAAAAGTGAAATTTCAGATTCATTTATAGGAAAAATAAGTTACATCATTAGAAAACTTACAAAAAACTACATACAAGACATTTAAACGGCTACCTTGATTTTGCAAGTTCTTCTTGAGTTATGAGCTGTTGGAAACGTGTTGTCAGACTAGTACCCAGGATTTTTGCCAGATTTTGGCCTATATTTGTCACATTTGGAACAGCAATAACTCGAAAACCGCTTGAAAAATTTAGGTGACTGTTTAAATGTCTTATATGTAGTTTTTATGAGCTTTCTAGTGATGCGAGTCATTTTTGTTATGAGTGAACTTGAAATTTCACGTTTTTAACAATATGGGA